GTTCAAACAGTTTCCTATGTTGCTACCCAGGTACAATTTCACGTCTTGGGAATTCTATTGCTCTTTGCATTCATCCATAAGCATCATGAATAGCGTTATCAACACTTCCGTATGTAGTCCCTCATCTGTTAGTACACACACTTCGTGGTTATGCACCTCCCGTTTTTCTTTATGGCATCTTGTCCCCGACGGGTTATCAGTCGTCTCATATATCACATGCTTGGCTGTTTCCTTCTGGTAGACCCTTATAACTTTCTAAAAAGGACTATCTGGAATATATTGTTTCATACGTATGTGTTGTTTCGAAACTTAATTGCTACATACAGGCCCTCGCCCCTGCAGGACAAGAGTATGTCTTTCTTGGTTAAATTGATTCGCTGTAGACATTACAATTTCCTGAACGCATTGTTCATCCCTTCTGCGTCCCTGCTGTAATCTGTGGAATTAATTGTTCTCTTTCAACATATCAAAAATATACGAGTATTTATGTTCGAAACTATGCCACTAATGTTTTGTTATGTACAGATCACCATAGTTGTGTGCATCTATTTCCATTAGGTTTCTCCGTCAAGTAATTCCACCTATCACACGTTTATTTATCATAAATGTGTGCACCACTACTTGGAGGAAATGTTTCTTGGTAAATTTTCATTCTTCTTTTCTGATTCATCTAAAAGTTCTGTATGTATATATAGAATCTTCTACGGAACGTTTGTTTCTCATTTTGCATCTATAAACTCTTTGGGATGTGTTAATTACATATTAACACTCATATTCAAGGTCGCGCAATGGTACGTGGTCATTATCATATATCCTTCTTTTTTTGGCAGTCATGGCCAAACATTGCTGTCTGTCTGTGTACCCTTCTTCCGGCTTTGCGCTTTCTGTGTTTCAGGGGAAACTGCGATTCTAAGGGCGTGTATTGCTCTAAGGGACAAAGTTGGCACGAGGAGTTGGGTTCGCTTCCCTGGCGTCTTCTAAATAGTGACCATAGTGCAGTAAATGATATTTTTTGCATGTGTATATATATACATATATCTATACTTCCATAAGAAAGGTAACCTCTGTAATGGGCCCCCGAAGTGTTAAGATAATAAATAACACCTCAATAAAGGCAATGCCATCATTATATAGTGTTTGTGGGACTACACCGCGTGTGGGGTGTCGTCAGGATTGCCAGTTGTCTGTCCCAAAAGTCGTCAGCATAAGGACAGAGGGGGAAGCATCCGTAGCACTTAAGGACATTATGCACTCCCCAAAGCGCAGAATTTATGTGTGGTGGGTTGTGAAAGATTTGCATAAACTGATAGGTAAAGCACAGAGGCTGGTGGATAAAATAGACTGAACCTACTAGGAAAGGGAAAAGGGGGGCGATACCCGTTGGGTAATATCCGCGGCTGGGGGATCCGATGCAGGAGGCCTCCAATCTGCACGTACAATATCAGGAAATTGAATAGTTCGGACCGTAAGTGCACCTTCCCAATCTCTACTTATTTTACATTTATATTTTCCGTCTGTATACCCGGTGTCATTGCTTTCAACCTTTAGACACCGACAACTCTAGTAGAAGTGGATATTGATGCATTCCTACCTGCTGCGGAATCTGGTTCCTGAAAGAGCTGCCACGCTTCGGATATGCACTTAAATATTTCAGAATCCTCACCGGTGCTTGCACTATTTTTTGGTTGGTGCCGCCCTCTCAATTCCAGTGGCAAGATCTGACGGAAGTTTTGAATAATAACCTAGACGTTGAAAGATATTGTCAGGAGAAGTACATGTAGTACAGTCTGGTTTCGATGAAAATGTATCAATAGTTGCTGTTTGTATAAGATTTTCATTCGAAATAAGAGTAATTAGCGTATGCAAGCACTATGTTCCCTTGAACCAAAGTAATGAATTTCGCATACAGAATTTTTCGCATTGGAATTTCCAGTGTGAAACACCTGTGCACATTCCTGTCCCAACAGTATGCACACAGGTCCTACGGTACCCATTATGCCTTTGCTTACGTTTTCATATAAATCGTGAGGATTCACAAAGAAACCAAAACATGTAGGCAGGGTGAAATGGGTGGTCAAACAACTCTACATAGTTAAATAACACATGTATTCCTGGGGTGTTCTTACGGGGTGAAAGTTGTGATACAACATTTATGAAGTAGTGTGTGAAATCACCTAGGATAGGATCTGAATAGACACGTTCTATGTATGAGTTATTATGGTGGTATTGTCTTTTACTATTATTCAGGAGGATAGGAAATCTGGTTTTATATATCTGACATGGAGTTCCGGGTACTCAATGCTACCCTTTATAATGTGGGTTGGGTTAAATATTCTCAACTAGTAATTCTCCCTATATTACATTGTGTATTATATTGACCTCTTCGTTTTACATAACCTTGCCATCCTTGATATCCTCACCGATAATGTGTGCATGTTCTGAAACATCATGTAATAAATACATATTGTCTTATGAAAGAAAAAATTCCGACATTGCGGAGATGTTCTGAAGAAATAGGTGCAATAGTGGTGTGGCTATGTATAAAGTTTATTTGATATTGTTTTTACTCAACTTCCTGATGAGTTCCAAGATTGTTTAAAGTCCGAAATCATGCAGTAGAGTTGGGCTCAAATATATATGTTGGCGATATTTTTACCAAGCTATGCTATTTTTCGCGCATTATGTTTAATTTGTCAGGATAAATAAAATAGACAGGGCTAACACTGCTTTAGTATATGAACATGTTTTGAACTGTACGCTAAGGTAGGAATTCTAGCAGTAATCTTATCCGGAAAATATGTCAACTTAAAAGTAACACCAAAACTATTAAACCGCGCGAGGTTTTTTTTTAAAGTGTGTATTAGCATTAGTAGCTTTTGCAATTAACAAAATTGCACTTTCTTTTTTTTGTAAACAGTTGGAAATAAGGGGAACAATATTTTGCGGAGTATATATAAAAGTATTGGGAATGCCTTAAATTCCCGCAAAGTACCGTTGGTTGAGCGAATAGGAAAGAAAAAAACCAAAAAAAGAACAA